TGGCACAGGGGGTGGGGGTGCAGTGTGGGACCATGGCCCCAAGCACCCTAACGCCACCGGCAGGGGCGTGGAGGCCAGAGAGGAGCCCCGAGCGGCCCCGGGCCGGCAGGACCTGGAGGCGGCGGTGCAGCGGCTGTCGGCGCGGCAGCAGAGCCATGCCTCGGAGGAGCGCTCCTTCTTCGAGGCGGAGAGGGAGCACAAGCTGTGGCGGCTGAGGGATGGGGAGAGCTCCAGCGGCTTCCTCACCCCCAACGAGAGCATCGTCTCCACTGGGACCAACTACTCAGGGGGCTCGGAGCTCACTGCTGGCTCTGGCTTCTCCCTCAGCTCCCTCACCTACCTGCCCGACAAGCTTCAGATCGTGAAGCCCCTGGAAGGTGAGGGACAGAGGTGGCTTCCCAGTGTGCAGAGCTGGAGGTGCCAGGAGGGTCCCACCACACCAGCTGAGCCCCTGGCTGTGTCCCCCTCCCAGGCTCTGTGACGCTCCACCACTGGCAGCAGCTGGCACGGCCCAACCTGGGTGGGATCCTGGTGCCCCGTCCCGGGGTGCTCACCAAAGACTTCAGGCAGCTGGACATTGACCTGGAGGAGGTCTACAGCCTCAACGACCTGGAGGAGGACGACGTGGATGCCAGCTCCTTCCAGCTGCTCCCTACCTCAACGCCCGCCAAAGCCAAGGAGCGCCCTGGGGGTGAGCGCGGGGCAAGGGGGCGGAGGGGACGTGGCCCCTGGGACGCCCCTGTCCTCCCCCGGCTGTCCCTCGCCCCCCCCCGCGCTCTTCCCTCTTGTGCTGGTGGCCTGTCCCTGCCACCCGTCCGTCCCCGTGGGGATGTTCCATCTGCAGCTGCACGAGGGCTGTTCTCCTGCAGCCGCCCTGCTGGGGTGAGCCCTTGCGGTCACGCTGGCGTGTGGATGGGACAGGTCTGAGAGAAACATCAGCTCCTGTTCCCACTTGTGCTCGCAGCCCCCTCCTCTGAGCTAGCGCTGGACCCAAATGCTGCTGGAGATGTGCTCCATGCATGCAGCTTTCTGGTGGCGGTGGCAGCTCACAGCCTAGCTTTCGCTCTCCCGTGTGCCCAGAGCCCCGCTCTCTGCTTCTGCCTGTGTCATGCCCCCCCTCCCTGTTAACCCAGTGTCTCCTGTCCCTTCCAGTGTTCCTCTCTGTTAACAACCTCCCCCAGACCCCGTCTACCTTCACCATCACCACCTGCCACATCCTCCACCCCACCACTGAGATCACCACGGTGACATCCAGGTAAGGCGCGTGGCCCCCCCCCACCGCCTGCACTGCCTGCACCG